GATGTTTGCCTCTATTTATGTAAAAATGTAAAGGACATCTCTTTGCCTTTCAATCTTAACCTACGAATTGTATTGATTATGTATGTATCAGTTTGAGAAAATTATTATGATATACAGGGTTACCTGACCGAACGTTCGGGGGCCCCCGGGCTGGCCCCCGAACGTTCGGGCGTTCAGGGTCCCGTTCGGGGGCCGAACACCTCCAGGTTCGGCTCCCGCCAAAACAAAATTCGAGGCCTAAAAATAAGTGTTTTTTTCTGAATGTTTTTTTGTGAGTTCTCTATTATGTAACCTACACACCTATAAATTTTAAAGTCATTCTACTAATCCAAACAAACATTAAAAATCGTCAACGATGAGGGTGTCAAAACGTGCTCGCCCACTCACTATTTTATTTTTTTTCACTTTTAACTTTTTGTTTTCACTTTATTTCGTGGCCTAAAAAAAAATAATATTTTTTAAAATTTTTTTAATGAGTTATTGATTATTTAGACTACATATCTGTAAATTTTCAGGGAATTTGTCAATGCCAACAAATAATTAAAAATCAGCAAAGATTGCGGTGTCGAAAAGGTGCTGGCACACTCACTCATTTTAATTCTTTTTTTTTTTTTTTATCATAGTATTTATTTTTTGTATTTGATTTTTAATTAAAATTTGGTAAATAATTTGGATGTAGTGCACAGGCAAATGTTGTTTAGTTTATTTTTTTCCATAACATGTTTTGTTTTCGAAATTTGAGGAAAATTTGGAGTTTTTTTTTTTTTTTTTTTTTTTGGTCCGCGTTCGGCTCGAACGGCCAAACGCCTTCCAAAGGGGTTCCGTACGTTCGGGCGTTCGGCCCGTCCCGGACGCCGGCAACCCTGATAATATATATATATATATAAATACACATAAATAATTTATGAGTAAAGTTCAAAACAAATTAGAATATAATATGCACGAAAGATTGTCAATCAAGTCGACATAAATAGTAAGTTGGTCCGTGAGATCAGCGTCCCGATGCCCGACACGTAAACGGGTCAGTCTTAGGCGTTCAACCACGTGTATGTCTATGCTAAGGCAATAGAGCAAACACCCTCGGTTGATTTACCTCTGCGATTGCAAGTAAAAACCTTCGTACGTGAGTCAGTAGCTCAGCAGGGTTATGCCTACCTAAGGGTGGTGACAGACCCTCAAGTAGAGGTGAGTTGTACCTCACAGAGCTTTATCATGTCTTAGGGATCCGCGAAAGGTATAGCTGGCACGCACGGTCGGAGTGGTATCTCTAACTGACTCAAAATAATACTTTAATCTTGCGTGACACGACCGTGTGGTCCTACGCTCACCGCAGGGCGTGAGACCGTCGTGCCCGACAACGTTTCCTTACTCTATGTTTCCATGCTATGCCTTACTTTGCTCTGCTATGCTCTGCGTTACAATATTCTGTTCTGCTTTCCTCTGATCTTCTTTGCTCTGCTCTACACTCCGTTACTCTGCTCTGTTGTACTCCACTCTGCCTTACTCTACTTTACTTCACTAGCATCCACTCCACTCGCCTTCACTCTACTCTACTCCACCTAACTCTACTCTACTTCACTCTACTTCACTCCACTTTACTCTACTCCATTTCACTACTTCACTCCACTCCATTTCATTGAGTCACTGTATACTCTACTCGACTCTATTCTTCTCTACTGTGCTCTCCTCGACTCTACGTTTTCCTACTCTTCTCTACCCTATTTTTTTCTACTCTTATTTTCTCTATGTTTTTCCACTTCATACTTCCCTGCTCTTCAACATAAAAAATTCTCAAAATTAAATAATCATTTTATAGTAAAATTACATTATACATTTTAAATTTTTATTTCATCTTTAAAAATGTCATTCCAATTTTAAACCTTTATGTTTTACTTGAAAACTTTCTTTCCAAGAATGAGGTATCCCTTTTTATTTTAAGTGCAAGCTAGAAATGAAATGAAAGTCTGGATAAGGATGCAGCCTCCCTAAACAGGTGATTTTCAGGGTCTTCGGACCTTTCACCACTCCAGGACACCCTTCACCACTTCAGGATGTTACCTACCTAAACAGGTGGTTTTCAGGGTCTTCGGACCTTTCACCACTTCATAACCATTCAGGATTTTCAGATTGCCCAAAACTCTCACTTCACCGCTTAAGGATGCAACCTGCCTAAACAAGTGGTTTTCAGGGTCTTCGGACCTTTCACCACTTCAGGACCATTCANACCGCTTAAGGATGCAACCTGCCTAAACAAGTGGTTTTCAGGGTCTTCGGACCTTTCACCACTTCAGGACCATTCAGGATTTTCAGACTGCCCAAGACCCTCACTTCAGAATTTTTATTCATTCAGCTACCCGTTAACCGCTTGTGACTCTCTCTCCTCTGCTCTGCAATGATCTGCTCTGTCTTGCTCTGCTATGATCTGCTCTGCTATGATTTGTGTTGCCCTTCATCATAGTGCGCCCAATTAATGACTTGAATGAAACGAAAAATCTTCATATTGATTTTTTTTTTTTGTATGTTGATGTTGTTCTTTGTTTATTTTACGCATTGCTTTTGTGTTGCTCCTCTCTCTCTCTCCTCCCCTTTTCTCCTTTTTTTTTTTGAATTTTTAATATGTCGTTTTCTTAATTCGTTAATTGTGCTTCGACTTCGGAGTCGATTTGAGGATATTCTTTATTACCTTTTTTTTTTTTTTTTTTTTTTTTTATTTGAATCGAACAGCCACTGTGAGGACACCCACTACATTTCTTATTTATGCGGGCTTAAGCCCGCCCCGCGGGCGCTTAGCTGGTAATAATAATGAATGTTATTAACAAACTGAGGTCAGGAATCCCTCAACAATACAACCCGGAAAGAACAAATCGAGCTTTTGGGAGCGAATCCCGCTCAATATCAGGTGTT